GGGGGGGGGACAGTGCCTCGGGTGTACACAGGGCTGGAGGTCAGCGCCTCTCCCAGAGTCACACGCATGCACACACGTGTGCACGCATGCACACGTGCTCCCGGTCCCTCCTTGCCCCTGCTGCCCACTCAGTTGAGACAGAGGCCCAGGGACACCCCCATCCCCCAGGGCTTGCTGCAGCGTCATGTGATAGAACAGCAGGATGGGTCTGCACAGCGCCCTCACAGGCTCCCCACACCCCTGCACCTGCGCCCTCCTCAGCGGTCACCCAAGGTGCCCACGCAGGTCCTCTGGCCAAGGCTCCCGGGACCCGTTCCCTCGGGTGCACCCTGGGCTCACAGCCTCTGAGCCCCATCACTGCTGTGAGCTGTTCTGTTTTAGACACTGAGCCCGGCTGCCTGCGAGCAAGCGTCACCAAGAGCCAGGCCTGTCCCAGCCACAGTCGAGCAAGTGAGTGGGAGGCCTCGCCCTGCTGTTCCCCAAGCTAGGCCCCCTGCTTCGGGGAGGGTGGAGCCTAGCTGTGGAAGGGGTGCCATGAGGAGGGGCTGAGAACCAGACTGGCCAGGGCTGTCTCCTGGCTTGGAAGTGGCCTGGCTGGGACTGAAGCGAGGACGCATGCATGCTGTGGTCACAGGGTGCTTGTGGTCAAGGGCACATCGCCCCTGCTCCGTGGGGCTCTCCCCAGGGCAGACAGCAGGGAAAACACCGGCATGTGCCCTGTTGGCTCCCCCACTTCCCCACAGGAAGGCATCTCCCGGGTGGGGGGCCGGTCTGTGGGTCCACAGACATGTGTGCAGAGCACAATTGCTGGCCGGGAGGAGGATCAGGCCTGTAATCCCAGCACTGTGGGAGGCTGAGGCAGGAGGCTCACATGAGGCAAGTTCAAGGCCAGCCTGGGCAACGTCGTGAGACCCTGTATTTACGCACACACACACAAAAATTAGCTGGGCATGGTGGCACATGCCTGTAGTTCCAGCTACTCAGGAGGCGAGGCAGTAGGGTCGCCCGAGCCCAGGAAGTCGAGGCTGCAGTGAGCCATGATCTCACCACCGCACTCCAGCCTGGGCGACAGAGGGAGATCCTGTTGCTATGCACTGGGCGGGTTCTGCCCACTCGAGGTGTGCTGGACCACTGCGTCCCCACCCCATCCTGAGAGGCCCATTTCACCAATGATGTGACCGGAGACTGGGGCTACAGAGGGTGGAAGAGGTGCATGGGGACTCCAGTCCAGGCAGGTCTTCACCCCATGTCCTAGATTGAAAGACCTGCTTTCCATGAAAAACAGGATCACAGGGTGGCCCCCATAGTGGTGACTGGGGTCTCAGCGTGGCCACACTGCCTTTCGGGAAGTATGAGGAGACCACTGGCCGTCCATCCCCACCGCAGCCTGCCGGTCGTGCAGATCGGGTGTGTGTGTGTGTGTGTGTGTGTGTGTGTGTGTGTGTGTGTGTGTGTGTGGCACTGGCTTTGTACCTGCGAGGTGTCGGGCAGTGCACGCGTCCAGCTGCGGGCCCGCCTGCCTGCGGACCGAGGAAAGCCCCCACGCCAGGGCCCGTGTATCACCTCCAGGCCTGCAGAGCTCCCACCTGTGGGAGTTCGTGCGCGACCTGCTCCTGTGCCCAGAGGAGAACGGCGGCGCCCTGGAGTGGGAGGACCGCCAGCAGGGCGTCTTCCGCGTGGTCAAGTCAGACGCGCTGGCCAGGATGTGGGGGCGGCGCAAGAAGAACGACCGCATGACCTACGAGAAGCTGAGCCGCGCCCTGAGGTGAGTGGCGGGCGCCATCACACTGCGTGGCCCCAGGGCCGCGCGGCCCGGCCAGGCCCCCGCACACCCACAGCACCCACGCGACCCTCACGCACAACACCCGTGCGCACAGCCACACACATATAGCACCACACACAACACACCACACTTGCACACACACTCACAACACCCGCACACAACACACATGCACACACAACACACACATCTATACATACAACACCCACACACACCTGCACACAACACCCACACAAAAAACCCAGCACCCAACACTCATACACCTGCACACAAAAAACACCCCCACAGAACACACACCACTTGCACACAACACACAACACCCACACGCACAACACCCATGCACAACACTCACACACAAATAACATCAGCACCCAACACACACACAACACCCACACACAAAAAACACCCCCCCACAACACACACCCCCTGCACACACAACACCCACCCAAACACCTGTACACAAATAACACCCACATACCCACAACACCCATGCACAACACTCACTCACAAATAACACCCTCACACAACACACAGATAACACACACACCCATGCACGACCCTCATGCACAACAGCCATGCACACAGTCACACACAAATAACACCCACACACAACACACAACACCTGCGCACACACCCACAACACCCACACACGACACACACCCGCACACAACACCCACACTCAACAGCCATACACAACACTCACACACAAGTAACACCAGCACCTAACACACATACAACATCCGCACACAAGCACACAACACCCACACATAAAAAACACCCACACACAACACACACCATCTGTACACACAACACCCACACACACAACACACACAGCACCTGCACACAAATAACACCCACAACACCCATGCACAACACTCACACACAAATAACATCAGCACACAACACACATACAATTAACACCCACACACAGCACACAGATAACACACACAACACCCACACACAATACCTGCACACAAATAACACACACCCCTGCACTCACCCCCACAACACCCACACAACACACACCACCTGCACACCCACACAGAACACCCCCACACACACACTATACCTGCACACAACACACACATCTACACACAACACCCACGCGCAGGCCCAATACACCCCACACACCCTCTTCTTGAGAAGGTGAACCATCCATCCAGGAAAGGCTGGGTGTGGGATGCTGGGAGCCCAGCCCAGCCGACCCGCGGGAGATGCTTGCGCCCCACCCCACCCCGCTCCTCGGGTCGAGCCCCCCCGAGTCTCCCGCTTGCTTGCAGATACTACTACAAGACGGGAATCCTGGAGCGGGTGGACCGCAGGCTCGTGTACAAGTTTGGGAGAAACGCGCATGGCTGGCAGGAAGACAAGCCCTGACCGCCGACCCTCCCGGGCCCACCTCTCGGAACCACCGCACCGATCGACACTGAGCGTCTTTTCTTTTTAAACCTGCAAACGTGCTGATAAACTGTCTCTGCGTCTCGGCTCGCATCTGGATCCCGAGTTGCCCGCCTGGGGCGGCGGAGCCCCCTCAGGAAACTCTTCTCTCTGGGGTGGGAGGACAGCGGCTGGTGGGGCAGATGCCATTTCCTGGCCGAGAGCTGCAGAGCCACAGAGCTGCGGCCGGGGTGCCGACCAGAGGAAAACGATTCGGCCACTCGTAGAGACACACCCAGCACTCCCATTCCCGGGGCTCACATCCCCAAACAACAGCTCACAAAGGGAACAAAACCACGCCATTCGCTCATAGACCACAGCAGGAGAGAGTGGGAGGGAACACGCATATGCTGCAGGTTTTAAGTCGTAGAAGCCAAGTTCTGTAGAAACGCCTCCTCGCTGATTAAATCGCTGTGCCATCGCTGGGACGTGGCTGGCATAGATACATCTCCACAGGGCCCCACGGCCTCAGCACAGCTGCCAGGTCAGCCTCTTGGGGTCAGACACGCAGACAGAGCTGCGCAACGCCCAGCTGCGACCCTGCCTCTTCTGATGGGCTCCTGGCATCAGACACACAGAGCACCCACACACCCAACACCTGCACACAGCACTGTGGTCGCAGACCACTGCTGATTCTAGGACTCAGGCTACCCATGCGATGACGCCCCCATCTGAGGTCAGGATGTTAACCTTTAGGGAGCGGGAAGCACCCCCACTCTGCAGCGGCCAATGGAACGAGGCTCCCGTCTCCCGCCTGGCGGGCACTCGAGCTCCGAGACACGGCCTTCCTTGACAAAAATGGCAACTGCGAATTTCCACCAGGAAGAGTGCACAGGTTGAGGTCTGCACTGATGCTTCCTCCTCGGCCACCGACATGTCCGTCCTGGGTGAGCCCAGCCGGGGGACAGGTCCCCGGGCCTACGTCTCAGCCCAGCAGGGGTTGGCCCCTGACCAGGCACTGAAGACCCCCAACCTAGAGCCTGGCTCCAAGAGTCACAGGTTTGAAAAGAATGTGAATTCCTGGGAAATGCCCTGTCTGGGGCCCATGTGTTTCCCGGGTGGATGTGGTTTGTCAACAATGTGAATAAATGCTGAACGCGCTCCTCGGCTGCATGGTGTTCAGTCGGCTGGGTCGGCTCGCAGAGTGCGGACAGTCATCCGCCTCTGAGGACTTGGTCTCCTCCCAGTCGGGGCTGGGGCGTCTTGGAGACCCTGAGGTGCAAAGTCAACAGAGGGATGCGCCCCCCAGCTTTGGGGTCATGAGTTAGGGCCCATCACAAAGCAGAGCTCGTGGGCACGTGGCCCACAGGGCCATCGTGGCTGGTGCATACAGTCTTTTGGGGTTTTTTCCTTATTGTTTTGCGGTTTATTTCTTTTCTTTTGTTGTTATTGCTTGTAGTGATGGGGTCTCACTGTGCTCCCCAGGCTGGTCTCCTGGCTGCAAGCGGGCCTCCCACTTCAGCCTCCTGAACAGCTGAGATGACAGGCGTGCACCACCATGCCTAGCTTGTTTCATTTCTTTCTGTGAATTCGTTGTCTTATTTAGAAATCGGGAGACCTGCTTAAAAATCCAGATTTCTAGGTTTTTTAAAAAAATAAGATCTGGCTGGGCTTGGTGGCTCACACCTGCAATCCCGGCATTTTGGGAGGCCGAGGCGGGAGGATGGCTTGAGCCCAAGAGTTTGAAACCAGCCTGAGCAACATTGTGAGTCCTCATCTCTAGTAAAAATCAAAAAATTAGCCGGGGGCGGTGGCACGCACTTGTAGTCCCAGCTACTTGGGAGGCTGAGGCAGGATTGCCTGAGCCCAGGAGGTCAAGGCTGCAGTGAGCTGTGATTGTGCCACCGCCCTCCAGACTGGGCGACAGAGTGAGACCCCCACTCAAAAAAATAAAAATAAAATGAAATATATATTTTATTTTAAATAATCAGATCTGCCACACTACCTCCTGTATCATGGCGTTCGCGTGCTGGGGCTGAACACAGCTGCCCCAGTGGACGAGCTTATGGTCACCTCCCACTGCCCGGACACGTGGCTGTCAGTTGCCCCTGCCCCTTTCCCTGTACATCCCCCAATGGTCTTGCCTTGTGAGCTGAGGCCCACTCCAGCCCTCGGAAGAGGCAGGTACCCTGCCTGCGGACTGGATCAAAGCCCACGGCCATGATGAAGAAAGATCATCCAGGAGCTCAGACGTTCACTAAGACCAAGGGGAGCAGGGAGCTTGTGGGCCACGAGGCAGCTGCCCAGGCAGGGCAGAGCCAGGTGGCTTGATGGGCTCTGGGCCTAGGCCGATGGAGCGGGCAGATGGCGGGCGTCAGGGGCCTGAGGTCAGCTCTCGTCCCTCCTGCCCGCCCAGCAATCAAGAACAGAAGCATCCATCCCTCTTGCTACTCAAGTGTTCATTTTGCAAAGCCAGTAAGCCCTTTGTTCATGCATTCACCTGGTTGATTTTCCTGTTTCCATTTCTTTTTCAAGCCAGGGTCTAACTGTGTCCCCCAGGCTGGAGTGCAATGGCACGATCACAGCCACCGCAGCCTTGAAATCCTGGGCTCAGGAGATCCAGCCTCCTGAGTAGCTGGGGCTGGAAACACTAGCCACCACGTCCTGCTGACTTGTTTATTTTTTGTAGAAACGAGGCCGCCCAGGCTGGTTTTGAACTCTGGGCTCAAGTCATCCTCCCGCCTCAACCTCCCAAGTGCCAGGACGACAGAACTACAGGTGTGAGTCAGCAAGCCAAGCCCTTTCCTCATCTTGTGAGGACAATAAGCCCATCATGGGGGCTGCACCTGGTGACTGAGTTGCCTCCGCTCCCCAACCCCTCTCGCTGGGATGAGGCTTTTAACGCGTCCATTTCTGGGGAGCCCTTGCACTCAGGTGGCTTCCACCTTCCGGCTGCTGTGCCCATGCCACTGTGGTGCAGGGTGCAATACCCACCGAGCCCCCGCCTCCCATTCTTTGGGGCGCATGTCTGGAGGGTGGCTGGCTGAGAGCTTTGGGTTTTGGCATCATGGAAGCCTCTGGGGGCCTTGCCGGGGCTGCCTCTGGGCACCAGTCCAGAGAGCACAGAGACAGAATAACAGGTCAGGGCAGCCCTGCATGAGGCTTTCAGGAGAGGGCACAGAAGGAGGGGCAGCAGCGGGAGGGACGGGGCCGGCCAGGCAGCCACGGCACAGAGGAGAGGGCAGGGTCTGCCAGAGCAGGGCACGGGCTTGGGGAGGGCTCCCATCCACGGGAAGGAGGGAGGCTCACTGGACACCGACGTGGCAAGTTGGAGGACTCCATGGAGGAAGGTGAGGAAGGCGAGGAAGAGATCTGTAAACACATGAACTTCACCAAGACTTTCCCTCCTCAAATAAAATCACATTTCCTTCTGGTAATTTTCAATGAGCAATCCAGATACCGAGGCCCAGGGGGGTGGGGGCACAGGCGGGAGCGTGCCCCGAGGAGGGACGACCGTGGGGTCCAGGTGGCTCTGGGGCCATGGAGGTCTGCTGCAGGTCAGCTGGCCATGTTCAGCTCCAGCCACGGCCACCGTCCCGTGCAGAAACTGCGGAGGCCAGGCAGATTCCACCAAGGCTGCAGTGGCAGGGGATTTCCTTGAAGGATACAAATCTAAGCAGTGAAAAGGGAACGCGAGGGCAGAATGCGGATGACAAAAGTGAAAGGTGGTCAGGTCAGTGGACGGAATGTTCTAGAGATGGAAGGGAGAGATCGTGGCGGATTGTGGATCAGATACATTCGCACTCACACTGGAATGTTCTAGAGATGCTGAACTGATGGGAGGGAGACCATGGTGGGTTATGGTTCAGATGCACACACTCACACACACACAGCCACCTTGTTGGTAGAGTCTGTTTCCCACCCTTTGTCTGTGGGCTTAGTCACGTGGCTGGTGGTGGCCAGGGACACAGGGTGGACACGACGTGAACTGAGGCTGGCGCCTTCACGGACTCGTCACACAATCCTGGCGAAGGGTGGACAGTGACACAGGATCCAGTTACTCGCTGGAGTCCACAGGTGGGAGCAGGCAGAGCTTGGACTCAGCTCCACGTTTGTCTGATAACACTGCCTCCCACTAACTGCCTCCTCCTCACAAACGCAGCTCAGAGGTGCTTAGATGTGCCTCACAGCATGCAGAGAACCTCATGAGATCGGCTCCCAGGAAGTCTCACCTGCCTGGTGGAGTGAACCTCGGCAGCTCCCATCTCCAACAACCCCAGCACGGGGTCACCCTGGGGATTCTTCCACGTGTTGGACACTTACACCCAGGAAGCACGTTCCATACTGGTGACCCAACTGCCTGCTGTTTCAGACCAGAAAACTGTTTCAAAACTCTGTCTTTGTGTGCAAAACCAAGAGTCCAATGAATGCCCTCCCACTGCACCTGTTGACTGGGCCACAGTGCCTCCCAAGCCCTCGGCTCCGAAACCCCAGGGTAAGCGCAAACCGGCTTGAAGGTGAAGGGAACACAGGCTTTCTGGGGAAAGGGGGTCCATCTGCATTCAGAATTTGTCTGAAGTTCTGCCATGTGATCTTCAAGTGTGATCGGGAATGTGGGTTTATAAAAAATAAGAAAACAGCTAGTGGTGTGAGCCCTTAGTTTTGCCACCCATGATTGTGAGTGAGCGAGTGAACAGAGGAGAGACGACGCCATCCTCAGAGTTAGGGCATGTGCTATGTTCTCTGTGTCCCCAAAGGTTGACCAGCGGCCCCTGAGGCATGAGCAGAGGACACGGTGTCCCCAGGACACTGGGTCTTCCGAGGGCAGCATCCAACAGATGTCACTCATGGAGTCGAAAGAAATAAAACATGCGTCTCTCCTTCCATGTGCATCACTTTATTGTAAAAATGTAAGCAATTACAAATTGACCTGCTGAGAAATCAGTGCTGAGTTAGCATAGGTGTGATTTCAGGTGAAGAACCTGGCTCTGACCAGCCGTGAGCCGGATCGACCAGCCACGAGCCACTGATGCGCTCAGTGCGGTGTTCCCAAGAGGACTTTAGAAAACTACAAGCCTCCGAGCGGACCATCAGTGTTTTTCCTTCTCAAATAATTACAGCCACAATATTATATAATAGGCCATGAGGTGATCTGTAAACACATGAACTTCACCAAGATTTTCCTTATCAAATAAAATCACATTTCTTTCTGGTAATTTTCATGAATGATCCAACTAATTGTCAAAGACAGATGCGTTTGCAAATGATTGTGAAACCCGACCTTCATCTCCCCAGGAAAACAGCATGAGGGGTGGTCACTGGCATGAGTAAGTCGCCCACAGGAGCCCGCCATGACGCGAGCGGCGGCCGCGACACCACTCACAGGTTCGCCTTCTCCCGCGCGGCCAGGTGTGACCCGGGCTGCGAATAGGTGTGGATGGCCGTCTGTGACAAAAGAATAGAGCACGGGTGACTCACAGGATGCCAATGGTAACGTGCCCTGAGAGAAACATGCAGACCCCATTCCTGCTACATAGCAGGAGAGGCGTCCTGCAGGCGTATCCTCCACGTCTCCGGCGGGCTTCCGAGCAGAGGACGGCCCCGTGGAGGACACGCCACGAGGTCCACCCGCCCGTGCCGGCTCACCTTGGGCTTCTCGTTGTTGTACTTGTCCAGAAAATACTGGATGCGAGACCCGTAGTCACGGTGGACGTCGGTGAAGTTCTTGACCTGAGGCCGAAGGAACGCAAGCCTGAGCCTCGCCCTGGCCCTGCCCCCGCCATGCCACGCCCAGCATCTCTCCCTGGGGGACATGTGGGCAGCAGGCGGTCGCACGCGGGCTCACCACTGCCACCCTGGAGTGAGACGTGGGCCCAAGGCCTCTGATGGACACTGCTGAGCTACCTCAGCTAAGCCCCTTGGCCCCCCTGAGCCCTGCGTCCCTCTCCCTAAATGAGCAAGATTAAGACGTCCCTGTGGTCTAACTGGAAGTCCAGATTCGGTCTGTGTCCCCTTCTCGGGACACAGCCCTCCTGGGATCTGGTGTGCTGCCACTGCTGCGATGCCTCCCAGGGCCCGAGCTTCTCCAGCATGAGCCTCGCCCTGGCCCTGCCTCCCCCGCACAGCTGCTCCACACAGACAGGGCAAGCAGCCCCAGGGAGTGGGGTGCGGGGGGCTGCTCGTCCCCAGGGTGGAGGACTCCATCGCAGGCCATGGCAGGGAACCTCCATCACACCCCACACAGCGGGTCAGGAGCTGCCGGGCTGGCGGGCACAGACTCGGTGGGGGTGGACCTGGCGGCCGTGGATGCTCAGCTCTCCCCACTCATGACCGCACACTCCCACGGGGCCATTCCTGGCCACATCCTTCACAGCAAATTGTGCATTGTAAGTAAAGCACTTTCCTGAGTTCTGTGAGTCTTTCTAGCACTTCTTGAACCTGAGGAAAGGTGGTGGGACCCTGGTTTGCAGTCAGAATCCACAGAAGCACACATGGCCAGTGCCTCATCTGGTGTCTAACATGGAAGCAGCCTGCAGGGCTGACCCCAGATCACCCCAGCAGTCACTGTCAGAAATGAGAGGAACTGCAGGACACCCAGCAGCTGCCAAAGCCTTGGAGAACTGCCCATGCCCAGCCCAAGGGACACTAGGAGCCGTGAGTGGGGTCGGGCGGGTCGGCCATGGGTGGAGCTGGACTCGAAGGGAGTTCTGATAGGGCCCGTGGTCTGGGGTGAACAGGCTGGCACAGCCTGCAGTGAGGGTGGCGTGCACACAGGCACAGGCCCCTGCAGCCACTCCAGGCAGGAATGCCCCAGCAGACAGCAGGCCTCGCGAGCCCAAGGGAAAGGCGCACCCTGCTTCCAGCCTCAGTGTGGGGCAGAGGGCAGGCTCCTCAGCAGAGGGGGACGAGGCCGCCACCTGCCACAGAGCACCCAACCTTGTCCGGTGCCCAGGCCCCGGCTGGGGACCGTCAGCTGGCCCAGGGACAGAGGCACAGCAACTGTGGCTCCTGGATCTACAAGAAGCTTGGCCCATGGCAACCCAGGAAACCCGACGTGAGAGAGCCACGTGGAGCTCGTGGCCATCGGAAACACCCAGCGCCGAGCTCCACGTCGGCCAGAAACCATGCGGGTGTCCGGTCCGCACCTGAGAGAGGGCTGAGGCGACATGACGTGAAGCCACTGTGCAGGCTGTGAACCACAAACATGAGGGCTGAGCGCATAAACTTAGAGACAGGCTGGAGGGCAGTGGCACGATCACGGCTCACCGCAGCCTTGGTCTCCTGGACTCAAATGATGCTCCCGCCTCAGCCTCCCGAGCAGCTGGAACTATAGGCACAACCACCACGCCTGGTTAATGTTTTCATTTTTGGTGGAGCCAAGGTCTCGCCAAGTTGCTCAGGTTGGTCTCAGACTCCTGGACTCAAGCAGGCCTCCCAAATCACCACCACTGCACCTGGCTGGTGTATTTCTTATCATCCGAAGTTTAAGCAAAACTGTGGCAGGACCCACGTTTTGATAGCGGACGTTCACCATTCGCACAGAATAGGGCTGCAGCTGAACACTGACACGGGCTAGAACTCACCCCGGACTCGGGTAAATCGACCCGCGTCGCACAGCCGAAGCTAAGGGTGCAGCGGCCAGGTGCGGCACAGAAGGGGTTTTACGGAGCCATCAGAGCTGACAGGGCTGTGCTGCCTTCTCAGGCCTCAGCCCTCCCGCCCACAGCACCCCCGTGCCGGGTCCCTCGTGCCCGGACACTCACCGCCTTCTTCTGGATGAAGACCTGGGCGTCCTTCAGGTGGCCAGCGATGTTCTGGCACAGGCGCTCCCGCTGCTCCGCGTTGAGCACGTCCAGGAAGAAGTTGCGCACCTGCGGGACAGTGTGGACAACCGGTTCCCACCCGCAAGGCCCACTGCACCCCATGCCACTTGCTCATGAGGAGCTGAGCGCTTCTGAGAGTTCCAGGAGGGCTCTAAACGCCAGTCCCTTGCAGTCACGGCTACACAGCGCTTAACAACAGCAGGTCTGCAGTTAAAAGCGCTAGCACACTCTCCAGGCCGATGAGTCCTGGGGTGTGCCGCAGGCTCTGGGCACAACACAACCTCTGCCCAATTCCCCAGAACTACGGAGGAAAAATGAGCTCAGGGACTTATGGGCACATATCTCCGGGGTCATTCAGAAGCCACCATTCCTTGGACAGGACAGACACTGATGGTGGTTCTGCTGAGGTTCCTGAGTTTACCTCTAGAGTAAGATGGAAAAGCCTAGTACCGAGTGGTGAATCCTAGCAGTCTCGTGAAATTCTGAAATCAGAGGGTTGTAGCTTTAGTTTCTAACATTTCATTCATTCATTCAACAAATATTTACAAGCATCTATAATGAGCTAGTATCCATTCCATGTACTGTGCTATTAGTGTTTGTAAAGTCCAGTAGGATCCAGTCTTCTGAAGTAGCAAATTCATAAAACATGAAGACATGCATTGTTTTTCTAAGTCTTCAAGTATCCAATAATTATGTTTTTAAAAATGTGAGGGGAGCAAAACCCAACACTAAAGTTTAAAAATCAGACTTTTGGGGTGAACCCAGTCCAATCCATTGCCACACCCTGGGTGTCCTCACTTCTATCTCCAATTCACTAATTCTCTCTTCAGTTATCTGACATACTGAGCAAAAGCATCCACTGAGTCACTGTCCCTGTTGAATTTTATTTCTAAGACTGTGCTTTCACTTCTAGAAGTGTGGATTGGGGTCCTTTCCCGAGCTGTTCCTTTTCTTCACATTCTGCTTTCTTGAGGCCAGCATCCCTTTCTGCTTCTCCCCAAGTTGGTGCACGTAGCATCTTAAAGCCCCTTCAGACCAACCCGTCGTCAATCCTCTTCTTGCTGCATGTGCGGTTTCTCGGGGCTGGGTTCCTTGCACTTCTGTGGCTTTTCTCTGTGGCTCACCTTCCACAGGAGTCATCCTCTGCAAAAGCGCCAAGTGTGCCCTAGCTGCGAGGGCGTCACCCTGGGGGCCTTTCTCATCATCCCTGCGAAGGCCTAACTGGGTTCGCCGCCCCCACCGCTCCTCTGCTCGGGCCTCCCTGGTTCTCCGTGGGACAAGGACACAGGGGCCACTCTCGGATGCAGCTCAGGGAAGGCCCGGCTTCTCAGGACTCAGTGCCTCCACCCAGAGCCCAGGTGCCTCCAAGCCGCACCCTCAGCCTGGGGCGGATTCTCCAGGGGCGCCTCTCCTGGTCCCTGTGCCGGGTCTCTGCAAAACACAAAGCCTGTGGCCTAATGCCCCAGCACCGTGGACACAGAACACCTGCGTGAGGGGCAAATCAGGCCTGGCCACCCAGCGAGATGCACACTCGCCACGTTGCCTCCTGCTGAGTCCTTCTCTTCTTGGCACTTAGGGAGTGAACTTCCCTTTCGGCTCCACTCCATTGCTGAAGCTACTGCTCTTGAAGCTGCACATCTACATGAGAGAAGCAGAAGGCCCCGTGTGGCCCCCATCGACCATCCTGACCGGTCGACACCTCAGTCCACCATCGCAGGCATCTGGAACAGCAGGGACACATTCCTGAGGTTCTGACGGGTGCAGCCACGGCTTCTTGTCAGATGGAAAGAAGGACTCCGTCCTCAGGTGTGTTGTGAGCAGACGGTGAAATACAGCCATTGGAAAAGGCACACGGACTTACAAGCAAACACAGGGCGAGCCCATTACGCACTCAAAGCACCACTTTCTCAATACACACTGCCTGTGGGGGGGGCGCCACTCGTGTCTATGGTGGAAATCCCACAGGGCGGGGACACCGAGCCTCACTACCCAGCGCCACAGCTCCGTGACCTCATGTGGTGGCACAAGTCCGCCCTGGGGAATATTTCCACCACGAAAACTGGCAAGCACCGCAGCTCAGGCTCCCTCCTCCAGAGCCAGCTGTCAAGTCATCAACACACCATGAATGCCACAGGGGCATAACACCCAGGTCTTCATCCACGGCCCCTACAGAACCCTGCAGTCCTAGCCGGTCCTCCAATTCAATGCTGGGTGTGTCGGGCCTCGGGGCAGGCCTAGGGAACAGACTTGCCCTCGATGGGTCGTCCCATCACCCACGCCTGACCTTCTCCCCTTCTGACCATAAGTCTTAAGGCCTTCCCCAGGGAGGTCTGGCCCTACACCCTGGGGATGGGTGCTGACACTAGGCAGCTTCCACAGAAACCCGAGGGCAGGGTCAGGAGATTCTGAGAGATGGACATGGGGAGGCCCCTGGAGGGCGATGCCCTGGGGCAGAGAGGCTCCACCCTTTCCCATCCCTCGTCCTCCGTCCTCTTGATCCCTGTGCTTTGCTAGAAGCTTCATGACAAACCAATAAACACAAGCGTTTCCCTGAGTGCTGGGAGCTGCTCCTGCAAATTAATCAAACCCAAAGAGAGGGTCGTAGGAGCCCCAACTTGAAGCCCGTGGGTCAGAAGTTCCAGAGGCCTGGACTTGTGACATGTGTCTCAGAGGGCAGGGGAGCCTTGGGGCTTGAGCCCTGGCCTGTGGGATCTGATGCTGTCTCCAGGGAGCCGGTGTTGGAGCCGAGCCCAAGGACGCCTGCTGTTGCCCACTGCTTGGCATGTGGGAAAGCCGCGTGTTTGCCAGAGTGTCTTCCGTGCTGACAACTGTGGTGGCAGAGCGCAGGGAAAACGCAATATGAGTTTTTCCCAAAACAAAACTATGTATGACTTGCTCTCACAGAGACCTGGTTGATCTGGTTTTAAGATGAACTTCTTAAAGAAGCACATGCACACGTCCAAGAACAGGCAGGATGCCGGCTCCGGCAGGCGGCAGAGGAGATGCCACTGCAGATGGCATGGGCCCGCCCCCAGCCTTCTCAGCCTCCACCACTGGCCAGTAGAGGCGGGGACTCCGAGGAAGTCCTCCTGCCAAACTGACCTGCACGTTCTCACGCCTGGCTCACGACTGCCTAGCACAGCCCAGCTGCCCGTGCCAGGAGAGGTGGACGCCACAAGGCAACAGCTGCTCCCCTGGTGTTGGGAGCCGGCCGTGGAGGCCCGCCTGAGCGTTAGGGATCCAGGTGCACTGAGGACCCTGAGACCACCAGGTTTGGTTCAGGAGCTGAAGGCCCATTCCCTCCTCCTTTCTTTGTTGTTTAGCATTACCCACTGGCAGGGATTTTGATGATCTAAGCATGAAGTTCTGAGAATATGACAGGCATGGCTGACTCTAGGGATCCACTGTTCCCGTTTCTCACAGACTGCGGTTTCGGCTTTAAACTTAACATAATTCAAACTCAGGTCACATATGGGGAGCCTTTAATACAGTACAAGCTTCTTTAAAGATTTAATGATATATTTGTAGAATTAGTATATACATACAAAGTGCTGTTTCGACCTTAATAATACAGATAAATATCTACAGCTACTAGAAACGGCCCAGCATGAGCTTTGGGCTGGGCCACATTCCTTAGAAATTGGTTTGGGCTATAATGAAGAGTTTCTATAGTATAGGTAGAATTAGTGTAAAATAGAGAGGAATTGGGATTTACGTTGGTTATTAGGTGTTGCGTATGCATAGGTTTTAAAAGTTATTGATTATTAGGATATTATGATATTAGAATTGTTGTACTGCTTTTGAGAAATATTAACCAAGTATGAGGAACAGTGAGATGGTTTTGGGATCCTCATTCCTCATGCTTGGGGAAACACCTGGT